CCTAAAGGCATATCACAGATGCATGTTGATATTCGTTAACATGTTGAAATTATGCGATTATTGATTTCGTCGTATGCTGTAAAGTCAAAAGTTGGCCGGACCAATACGAAATGAATAGGAAGCGGTTCGACCAATAGACGCCTTCGAACAATTCTGATAACGCCATATCATTTCAATTATATTTCAGTGCGACCTATTCTCGCTTCGAAGCACAAAATCCCTGAGACTCTCCTATTGCTAAAGGAGAGTGTCCCTTATGACGAAGCCGGACTGGCCGTCCACGCGATAAGCGCGGCGCGGGGCGCGGTGGAGTCGCGGTGGACGGTCGATTATCATGGGGTCGGAGCGCAAGAGCCTCGGGGAGGGCCAGTGACATGCGGCGGAGCGAAGAGCGGATCCTCACCACCCACGCCGGCAGCCTGGCGCGCAATCCGGAGCTAAGCGCGCTGCTGATCCGGCAGGAGCACGGCAAACCAGTCGACCCGGCTGAGCTCGACGCCGCGATTCGCGCGCGTACCCGGCACGTCGTCGCAAGCCAGCTCGAAAGCGGCATCGACATCGGCGGCGACGGCGAGCAGGCCCGCGCCGGCTATTCGACCTACCCGGCGCTGCGCATGAGCGGCTTCGGCGGTAGCTCGACCCGCAACGATCTGCTGGATTTTCAGAAATTCCCGCTCTACGCGGAGGCCTACCGCGAGGCCTTCCGCACCAACCCGGAGGAACGCTCACGCATCGTGAACGCGCCCCAAGCGGTCGCCGAGGTGCGCTACGACCCCGCCTGCGCCGGCGCGCGCGCGGAGTGCGAGGCCTTCGAAGACGCGCTCGCCCGGCAGGAGGAGAGCTTCGCCGAGACCTTCGTGACCGCGGCCTCGCCCGGCTGCGTGCTGACCATCATGCAGAACGCCCACTACGCGTCGGACCGCGACTACCTCTTCGCGCTGGCGAGGGAGCTGAAGACGGAATACGCGTTCATCGTCGGGCGCGGCCACCTGCTCCAGATCGATGCGCCGGACCTCGCCATGGAGCGCTATCTCTACTTCCGCGACGAGTCCGACGCGGCCTTCCTCGCCAGCGTGGAAGACCACATCGAGGCGCTCAACATGGCGCTCGCCGACGTGCCCCGCGAGCGGGTGCGCCTCCATGTGTGCTGGGGCACCTGGGACGGCCCCCACGCCGACGACACGCCGCTCGCGCCCCTGCTGCCGCGCCTCTACGAAGCCAAGGTGGGCGCGCTCAACATCCCCTTCGCCAACCCCGGCCACCAGCACGAGTACGAGACGCTGCGCGAGCACCCCCTGCCCCACTCGATGGTCCTGATCCCGGGCGTGATCGACAACATGACCAAGCATCTGGAGCATCCGGAGGTGGTGGCCGAGCGCATCCAGCGCGCGGTCGACGCGGTGGGGGATCGCGAACGCGTGATCGCGGGCGTGGACTGCGGTTTCGCCGTCTTCACCGACAACGCGATGATGACCGAGGACATCTGCTGGGCGAAAGTTTCGCGCGCTGCGCGCGGCGCCGATCTCGCCAGCAGCCGGCTGTGGGGGTTAGGGGCGCGGGCCTGCCGCCCGTCAGGGCGGCGGGAGCGCTCTCGTGAGCGCCTCTTCGTGGCCGAGGCCGAGGATCCAGGCTTCCTCGGTCTCCACGATCCGACGTTCGGCAGGCGTGAGGTGCGGAGCGCCGGCGAAGAGCGGCGCCAGCCAGCCGCCGGCATCCAGCCGGGCGAAGGCCTCCGCGTTCAACGCACTGGGCGCTGTCGAGAATTTCTTTCTCGCCCTGGCGCGCGCGAACCTCGATCCTGAGAGCGAGGGTAGACTCGGCGATCACCGCCGGCGCGTCGGGCGTTCGCAAGCCGGTCTCGAAGGGCCAGATGGCGGCACGGCCCGCGATGCGCGGGTCCGTCACAAGGCGCTTGAGCGCGGGCAGGCCCAGCAGCATCTGCGAGCCGACGGAGCCGGCATAGGCGAGCTGCCAGACGGTCTTGGCGCCCTTGCGTGACGGTCGGCGATGCGGCGCTCGGGCGGGTGGGATTCCTGCCGCGAGCGCGCCGAGGCACGCACGGGAATTGTCGGGTAGCTCCACTTGGTCGGGCGGCCCAACGGGCCGACGCCCGGATAGGCCGCGTTGATCGCCGCCGCGACACGCGTAGCGATTGTTGTCGTTGTCCGGCCCGTCCTCGATTCTTTCCGCGAGCCAGTCCCAGAGCGCGAGGGCCGACTGCTTTGCCGGTCAGACGTTCGGCGACACCCGCCGGATAACCGAAGGGAAAGTCGAAGCCCACCAGCACCCGCCTGCCTAGCCAACTCACCCGCGATTAAGCCAGCAAGGCGGTCGAGCGCCTCATGGCGGGTGCGGGCGTACTCGGGCGACGCCACGACGATCTCGCCGCCGAAATGCGAGCAACGGCCCACCAGATCGCGTCCTTGGTGCGCCTCTTCGGACTCGGCGAAGACCGCGCCGACCAGTCGACGATGATGTGGGTGTGGAAGAGGGGCACGGCTTGACCTTCAGATCGTAATCCCGGTCAAGCGCTTGAAGCCGGCGCGCCAATATACGGCAAGGCTGAGAATCGTAACGCGATTCTCATCGGCATGAGCGCGATCAACGATGCAGGCGCGCGCGAAAATGGCTGCCACTCGGTACGGAATATCCCTGGCCTAGCCAGCCGAGCGCGAGCAGAAGTCGATGCGCTCTTCCTCATTTTCAGTCGAGGAAACAGTCGCTCCAGTCGCTGCCACGCGGAGGACTGAAGATGCGTAATGATCTCTTCTGTCCGATGACTGGCCAAATCAGTTCTGCTCAGTGAGAGCAAACGAACATCTCGCCGGTCTCCAGGAGGAGATCAATGGCAGCAACCAGTTCGGTCAGCTTATCCCGTCCGATGACCAAGGCGGTCGCGGTGGCTCGGATCTTGTCTGCAACCCCGATGCGCTCCGATGTATTGGAACATCCATCCAACACGCTATCCGCGACCGCATCTCTGAGCCTCCGATCCGCCGTGACCAGCGTCGACCCGGTTGCTTCGGCGCACGCGATGTAGAGGCAGTCGTAGACCGGATGGTCGATTTGCGCGGCAACTTGAGCGGCACGCTCAATCAGATCGGCACTCGAACTTAGAACGACTGCCTCTCGAATTCTGGAAAGCTCCTGGAAATATGCATGAGGATCGCCGATCTCGCGCAGGCGCGCCTTCTTCCAGAATATGTTCGCCAGTTCGACAAGCACGAAATCGGGCGCGAACCGTTCAAGCCGGTGCCCCAGCAGTACACGCGCCTCCTCCGAATGGGTCTCCGACACGTACCACTTGACGACAACGCTGGCATCAACGGTCAGCTTCACCGATCGCGATCCTGCCGCAGAAGATCGACGCTGTCGGTTTGGGGCACATCCGCCGTTTCGCGGGCGAGCTCGGCCGTGCGTATCCCTGAATGCGGCCATGCGGAGGCGGTGGTTCACCTCCTGGCTGAGCACGTAACGCAACTCTGCCTCCAGCGAGCGCTGGTTGGCCTGCCTGCGCCTTCAGGGCGTCGATCACTCGATCAGTCGAGGTTTCGGATCGTCACGTGCCCATGTTCGCCCCGTTGATAGCGTAGTTTGAAGCATATCGCTATCGCTTGGGCAATGGATACGATGAGGCGTGTGGACGGCGAGGGGTGGCAGGCGCAGCGTGACAGCGGCGAAGCGGTCCGTCACCCTTGGCGGCCACTACTGGCGAGATGCGCGAGACAAACCCATGCGAACGATCCGCCGCCTGAGAGAGTTCTCGATCGCCGCAGTGACCGCCATCGCGCATTTGGCTCGCCTTCTCCTTCGACGCGCGCAGGCCGCCCGGCGCCCGCAGCGTGGCGAACGATGCGGCGCTCGCCCGATGCACGGCAGAGGAAAGTGCTGAATGAAGCGCCCAGAATCGTGTCGGCGGCTCGGGGTCTCCGGCGGTGCCTTCATCGACAATGCGGCGTTCCGGACGTGGGCTTCGAGACCTCGGCGCGCGCGAGTGCTGGATATGGAGAGTCGCGCAGCGTCGCCCACGTGGCTACGCCAAACGACGTGCCTCATCGCCATCCGCAGCTCTCCGATCTCGCGGGCGGCGGCGAGGGCGCGAACCAGATGGAGGTTTCTCGGCCTCGCTTGCCGGCAACGCGCAGCCGTCGTCAGGCGCTGCTGAGAGCGATGCCGGACTGAACCGACACAGGCCGCGCGGCCTGGGCGCGTCTCGAGTCAGGTGACGAGGGATGAGCACCATGACGGCGAGGGTTGCGACGGCGACCCCGAGTCACCAGCGCAGCACCATAGCGGTGCCGATCAGCTGCGGGCCTGGGCCCAGATACAGCGCCGCCCGGCCTCGACATATGACGCGCATGCTCTGGCTGCTGTATGTCGACGCCAGGCTGAAGGCTTGTCCCAACATGAGCTGCGCGGCGCTTTTTCGCGCGTCGATGGCGCGACAGCTGTAGGGAACGCGTCAGCGCACCGGCGGCGACGACACTGACGCCCATGGTCGCGGTATTCGTGTAGAATCGTCGTAAGGTCGACGGAGTGGCCGGAGAGCGGGCCAGCAGAGGCTCGCCCAGACTTAGTCGAGAGAAAGTGCGCCGATCATGTAGCGTTTTTTTTTTTTTTTTTTGTCAGTGCGCCGCAGACCGACGACACTTGGTTTGTGTGATCTGATGCCGGCGACACAGCCAAGCCTTGGCGCGCTTTTCGTGTGTGTTATGTTAGTCCATCGGGTTATGAGCTAGCAGGTCCCCGGCGGAGGCGGAAGAACAGAGCGTTGCATTTTTGGTAGCAGCGCCCCGCAGAGTTTCACCCAGAGGCACGGCGCGTGAAGGCCCCGCTCTCGATAAGCCAGTCGTATTGTAGTGTCCGGACGAGGTAGCGCTCCCTTTCGCCGCCGGGGTTTCCTTTTTTTAGTGACAGGTTATTCGGTCATGTCGGACATTGTGGAACGGTAGCGAAAAGTTTACAGCCCACCCGCGTGGGTTGCCAGGTGGTCAGAATTGCACTCTAAAAACCTTGAATTCATACCTGACGTCGAGGAATAAAACTGGTATCTGAGGTTATCAGCTCTTGTTGTAAAAAGTTAAAATTGGTCCACCGCACACTTGGTCCCTTTCACACAAGATCAATGGAGATGCCGTCGGGGATCAGGCAGCTTATCGCGGATGAAAGCTGAGTTTTTTATGGGCAAAGGAAACTGGAAAGAGTGTGACAGTAAGTCATCAGGCTCATTAGGGGGCGAGAGTCATATATCCGGAGGAGATATATACGGCACCATTCAGGAGAACAGTCTCATCAACCATAAGGTGGCCCTGCCTCCCAGAGCCGCTGGAACCATCACCTACATCGCCCCCGCTGGCGAGTACCAACTGGAGGTGTGTGTGGAGATAACACTTTCAGCGCATGCGCAATTTACCGTGCGCGAATGGGTTTACCGCGGACGAAGGGAGGAACCTCAGCTCAATGCCTGGCGACGCGAGCTAAACACTATTCTGGCGATTGTGAGGTAGCATGATGGCTAGAAAAGGTAAGCTTCGAGTTATTTTTTCTCGAGAGAAAAGAGCTGAGCCAGACGCAAGGTATATAGAGAGGTTAGCGCTGCGTCTTTTGCGCGCTCCGCCCGACGGCAAGGCCGGGGCGCCCGCGTGTTTCGTGCGGCGACTGCCCCGCGCTCTGTAGACTCACTGCTAGTAACCGTCTTCGGTGTTACTAAAAGCGCCTCTAGCTTTGGCATTGCCTGCCCTAGGGCGTGAAAAGGCAGGCTACGCCAGACTATTTTGTCATAGTCGCGGCACTCAGCATGATGGGCCGATCAACCGCCAGGAACAGGGCTACTGCGACATCGAGTATATAACTGTATGAAGCCAAGAAGCCTGGCCAACAGTATAGCTTCGTTTTGGGTGTTGCTCAAATTACAGAGTGAAACAATTATGATTTACGCGGTAGCGGGCAGCTAGCTCTGCGCGCGCGTGAATGTTACGCAATGCGCGGTAAGAGTGGTAAACGACCATGCAGGACATAGTGCTGGAGACAGAGTTTGAAGGGGAGAAGTCACAGTTCAAGCTCTACCACGTATGGCCAGTGAGACAGATGAGGCCAGTGGTGGAGAAGCTGGCGGCCAACTACCCTCTCCTGACTGGGCAGAGGGTGCTGGATGCTCTCTTCCCGTGAGCTATAGACTTATCTGTATCTCAACTTCCTCTCATCCATACACACACTTATAGCAACCTAAGCTTGGCATAACCTCGACATGTGTAATAAACCTGCATTCTATGCATAATGTGTAGCGGTAAATTCGCTTCGGGAGGATTTTCTTTATTGATAGGCCATTCCAGTATATAGTTAATTATCTACTGACATATAATTTATTCTGAGGGAATTTTTTTCACAGTTTGAAGCTGACCACGAAACGTTTTGTTTGCAATATAATCCAGTAACTTTCTGAGTGTGTGTTATGATACCAAACAATGTGTTCTTGTCCCCCCAGGTGTGTCCAGGGAGGTACGACGGCCATCCCGGGAGCCTTTGGCTGTGGGTAAGACTGTCATCTCCCAGGCTCTGTCCAAATTCTCCAACTCGGACGTCATCATCTACGTGGGCTGTGGAGAGAGAGGAAATGAGATGTCTGAGGTGCTGAGAGATTTCCCTGAGGTATGATACTGTAGTGACTGTTGGTGGGTGGTGTCCACTCACTCCCTGTCATGATGTAGTAGTCTAGCTGCTAGGCTACATGCTCCGCGGCTCATGCATGTCCTCTAGTAAGCCCTTTGTGTAGGTGTTTGCTAAGAAGTAGTCCCTTATTGCCTCCTTGTCTCTTTCTGTTTCCTTTTGTAAGTGTGCAGTTCTCACGCGACGGTAATGTAGAGTGTAGCTCAATAGTTCCTGAATACTGCTCAACAAAAGTAAACCATCGCAATAAGGTTTTCAGATGAAATGTCAGACCATTGTTAAATTTGAACGGATATCCCCATCCCACAGTTGAAGGTGGACATCGGTGGAGTGGAGGAGAGTATCATGAAGAGAACAGCTCTCGTGGCCAACACCTCGAACATGCCTGTAGCTGCCAGAGAGGCCTCCATCTACACCGGTCAGCTCTTCCTACACTCGCACGCAATGTCTCTCTTGCTGCTACACAAAACACAAACATTGCCCTGTGTAGGTTGCATGTGAATTCAAATGACTTGACTACTTAGTACCTGATGGTTGGATGCACATTACCTACCTTTCCCCTTCTCTCCCCACCCTCCTTGGTCCACCAGGTATCACTCTCTCAGAGTACTTCAGAGACATGGGCTACAATGTCAGTATGATGGCTGACTCCACCTCGCGATGGGCCGAGGCCCTCAGAGAGATCTCCGGTCGACTGGCCGAGATGCCTGCCGGTCAGTAAACACACCCCACCCTCCCCCTTCTCTGTCCCTCTCTGTGATTAACTGACTAGGAATTGTACGCACGTCCCATCTAATGGCACGGTTACAGTGGTCGTTATGTATATATGTGGAACTTATGTACTGCCTATGCTAATATTCATACATGGAGTGTTTTCCGAATTCACATAAAAGAATAATTACAACATTCGTTGTCTGCCCTTTCTCCCTAAAGGAAATTTTGCATACTACATCACTTTTATGCTTCGATTTGTTGATTCCAGCTACTAGCTAGCTAGTCTTTGAGCATTACATCCCTCTCTCTCTCTCTCTTCTCCCACCAGAGAATGGATTCCCGGCCTATCTGGGAGCTCGACTTGCCTCATTCTACGAGAGGGCAGGTCGTGTGGTGTGTATTGGGAACCCTCTGAGAGAGGGCAGTGTCAGGTGAAACACCCTATTTACCCCCTTTTTGACTCACATATCCACAATCATGCAATGTAGTAAATGTAAATTGGCAAAGTTTATGTAGTCTGATATGGGAATTATTTACTCTGTTCTCTGTTTTTATAATCACCGCCTATTTTTCGATCCCTTAACTTCCGGCCCAGTATATCGAGTGAATGTAGTTACAAAGTAGCCTGCTGTTGTTAGGAGTATGTCATGAGTCCCTCCCTGGTGGTGTGTCCAGTATTGTAGGAGCAGTGAGTCCTCCTGGAGGTGACTTCTCTGACCCCGTGACTGCACAGACCCTTAACATCGTCCAGGTTCGTATATGTAACCGTTCACTCGAGGCAGAAGACTAACTATTATTCACGCATGCATATAGCGTATGAGTGATACACAATGTGCTGAAATCAATAGTTCAATATGATAGTCCATGCTGGGTTACATATATAAGAAAAAGGACCAAATAAAGGCAACCTTTCTGTAAAAGACACTTGGTTCTTAAGACATTAGTGTCAAATAAGCTCTAAGGATATTCAGAGGTTTCACATTACTACTTCCTCTGACTACCACTAGCACATCCTGTCCACATGATCACCAGCTACAATAGGACACTCATCCTAGTGTTTCCTCTATTGTGTGCCATATCCCTGGTCTCCTAACACCTCCCTGTCTCCTGTTGGCAGGTGTTCTGGGGACTCGACAAGAAGCTGGCTCAGAGGAAGCACTTTCCCTCAGTCAACTGGCTGCTCAGCTACAGCAAGTACATGAGGGTCCTGGACGATTTCTATGACAAGAGCTACCCCGAGTTTGTCCCTCTTAGGGCTCAGGTCAGCCACCTGTCCTTCTGGCTCTTGGGTGTTTACAGAAATAACCAAATACCACACTGCGCTTACCTATTGGTAGGGAGTCTGACTCTTTATAACTGCATGTACAGAGCTAGCTCCAGAGATTATGGGGTAAAATTGTCCCCTGGGAAGCATATTCAGGGGGACAAACGAAGAGATAGAGGGGACTATGTCCCCCTGGGGCACTCTGGCGCCAGCCCTGCATGTATAGGCACCGCCACAAGCACTGTGTTTTTATGGACACACATACTATTTCTGACTTATTGGTGGAATGTACATGCCGTGATGTTGCTCTGATCTACTGTATGTATATACAGGTGAAGGAGATTCTACAGGAAGAGGAGGACCTTTCTGAGATTGTGCAACTAGTCGGAAAGGTTTGTTGCCCAACTGCAGCACAACGATAGTGAAAAGCTGCCTCGTGGTTTCAAGTCACCTTTATACAGCTATGTAGTAGTTTCCTTTCGTATGTAGCACGTGGGCTAAACGCTGGGGATCTCAAGCATCTCTAGCTCTTACCAACTTGTCATTTCTCACCCCAGGGCTCCCTGGCAGAGAGTGACAAGATCATTCTGGAGGTGGCCAAACTCATCAAGGACGACTTCCTCCAGCAGAACTCGTACACAACCTACGACCGCTACTGCCCGTTCTACAAGACGGTGGGAATGCTCCAGAACATCGTGACCTTCTTCAACCAGGCGCAGCAGGCCGTGGAGCACACGTCTCAGTCTGACAACAAGATCACCTGGGCCACCATCAAAGACAACCTGGGAGACATCATCCACCAGCTCACCAGAATGAAGTTTATTGTGAGTCTCTCAATACAGTATATACAGTGGAATCTCTGACATATTGGGACCAGGCAATTTGTCCTTTATAGGGTTGTTGTCCCTCTCTTTGGAGGTTAATGGAAAAGCGATCATTTTGGATCTCAAAGTCTGTTCCTTATTGAGAGTTTTTTCCTTGGATTTGACGACAAATTATTCTCTACCACACCAGATATTGGTCCATGTAAAAAAATTCTCATGAACACTACAGCCTGGCCCTGTTAGGTCCTGCTCAAATGGAACTACTTACTAAGGAAGTGTTTCCCCTTCCTGTCTAGGTGGGACTGGATTGTAGTAATACTCCTCGTGTGTGTGTGTCTTGGGTGTGCCTTTCCTCCATGTTTGGAACTGGACTGATGTTCCCCCAAACCATTTTCGTCTTACGTCACACTAAATACAGCACCCTCCGCTTCCTTTCTATTAACCAGGTGTATAGAGAGGGTCATTTTGATAGGCAAGCTTATAAGTTTCATTATATTTTTTGTGGACAATCCCCAACGTTCTCTCAGAACCACAATGAGGAGGGAGAGGAAGGTGTGAGGACAAAGATAGCCAAACTGTCAGAAGACATGCAAGAGCAGTTTCGGAAACTGGAGGAGTGAAAACTAGTTCTGCTGCTGCTGCTGTATGTCGTCACATAGAAATGAACTTTATTTTGTAGGTATCATTTTTTGTGTACTGTAGGAATTGAAAATTGTTATTGCTGTCGTCAGGGGGTGATGATGGGACGTGGGGGCGCGTAACAATACAGTGCGCATGCATGCTCGTGTGCTCAGCTGCCCACGACAGGATGCGGGGGATATCCTACTGACCTGCGAACATCCGTCCGTTGAGTTCTATAGTTCTACCTGCCAAGCTACAGCGCATCAAGTGCTGTATAATTATAGATCTCACATAGCCTAGGAGAGACTGCGCTGAAACTTGACGGAGAATGATTTTCGTAATCTTTTGCACTTGCTGGGTCATCACCTTGCTTTCAGGTAACTGTAGCTCTGCGAGCAACGATCGTCGTATTATTAAAATCCACGTGTTGCAGGAGCACTGGCCCAAATGGCATTCTCGGGACCACCAGGCGAGATATGCCCCGGAGACAACGTCACTTTCTCGTGTGTCGGAAACACCACAGCAACCGTTTGGAGCGTAACTAGTCCTGAAGGAGCGGACGGGCGCTGCGAATACCTGCCGTTCAACAGAGTGGAGTCCCGGTGCGGTCCTGACGAGAGATTCAGGTCCTTCCAGAGTGAAGGTGGAAATATTTTCAACTCTTCTCTGAGGGTGGACTCGGTGACTGTGGATCTGAATGAGACTGTGGTCCAGTGTGACACTGGACTCAGTAGTGTTGTTGGGTCCAGCAGCATCTGCATTGTAGGTGAGGGCATTTAGCAGCAAATCCATGCAAATTCTGAATGTGAGGGTGAGACTACTAAGATTCCAACATTTATCCGTGTCAGGAGGAACGCTTGGTGTCAGTCTCATAGCTACCAACTGTACTTTCAATGTTATGAAAGAAACTGTCTGCAGTCGATGTTCAGGCTTGTAGCTACACTTTCCTAACTTACGACTGTAGTCAAGAGCTGTGAATACTCCACATAATCAAGTATATAGCTTTGATAGGGTCAACCCCACATTTGCAGCGTGGATAGGTAGGTGTATAGCACACAACTGTTGCCAGTTATCGTATTACAACAAATGGTGTGTTAGCTACCTATCATTGTTTGCAGGTGTGTCAGCTCCTCCCGAGTTTCTCTCACCCACCATCTCAGAGAGAGATGTGGGAAGAGGAGAAGAGTGTGTGGTGAGTGTGGAGTGGAGCGAGGCCAGTCGTCAGTTGTGGTGGCTCTGTGTCTCAGTATGTGTTGACCCTGACTCCACCCACCTCTGATTGCCAGTCGGGATCTAACAACTGCGAGCTAGTGACCGACAGGACACGGCTCGATCTGACTCTGAGTGAAAACAACAACTATTCCCTCACAGTTAGACCTGATACCTGCGGCAATGCGGTTCAAGGACCAGAGAGTATTCCCCTGTCTATTAGCCTCACTGGTCAGTGGATGAGTCAGTGTTGTATCTAAGAGAATTGACTTGTTTTCTTAATGGGCCACAGATATGAACATAGAAAGATGTGCAGTTCAGAAGAGGTTCAACCCGAATGATGGGACATTGGAATCAGTACAGGTTTCTTGGATTATAACATCTCAGGTAAAACAAAAGGTGCCTACTTTGGCACATGGCCCAGCATTGTGTGCTAAACTGACAATAAAAATGGATATCACAGTTGACGGATCTGGGGCCAGAGTACACAGTGGTGATAGAGGATGGTGTGGGGTCTAGAGTGAGGGAGAGAGTGGGAGCTCTCAACTGTAGCTCCACTCAATGCAGCCACACCTACTACCCAGCAGTCGGCAGTAGAGGGGAGTTTGGAGTGTCTGTGGAGACTGCTGGCTGTGTGACTAGACAGACAGTGTGTCTGGAGAGACCAGTCTGTGAGTGAGACAACTCCCAGTCTCACCTCATCTCTCAATGACTGGTGCTTTCTTGTGTACCAGATTGTTCATTGAGGGACTTGTCTCCCTCTCTGGTTGAGGAGAACAGAGTGTGTGGGTCAGTGAGTGGTGGTGGGGTGTGTTACAGTGGAGACAGTGTAGGATCAGTGGCAGTCTACTTCTGTGATGATGGCTATAGTCTAGAGGGAGACACTACCAGAGAATGTCTGTCTAGTGGCCTCTGGAATGGTACCACTCCTCAATGTGTGGAGACAGAAGGTACAATTCTCTATTATGGCTAGCCGCATCATGTGCATAATCATTATGCTCACTCTATTTCGGCAGAACCTGATGATATCAGTAAGACAACAGCCATAGTCATCGGTGTGGTGTGCAGTGCTGCATTTCTAACTATTGGAGTTCTACTGGGAGTGGTGGGACTGTACCTCGTACAGAGAGTGAGGGGAAGGTCGTCTGGCCCCACCTCCTCTCTCCCCCTCCCCTCCCTCCAAACAATCCTCCTAGAAGATACGTTCAGACTGTTGTTATGACAGAGCGTGAAACACCAGCCGATGTCACACAGCAGACTATGGATGACTATGAACCCATGCGTAGTAGTGGATCCTCCATACCACCAGAGAGTACGGCACAGCAGACTTCAGGAGATTATGAAGAACCTGTGCATACTAGTGAAGATTTTGCCACATCACAAAAACCTATATATGAGCCAGTGTATTACTAAAGCATTTTATACAAGAGAGAGTTCCACCCACGCTCGAACTAATGTAACGGTCTAGGTACGTATGATCATGACTGGTATAACGTTTTGACTGGTTGTCTCTAACGGTTTGCGCATGCGTGTACCGCGTAAAACTACTAACGATCACGACGAGCACGTCCGGATGTGATGGTGGCACCGGTGGGTCCAACTTCCTGGGTGAGATCATCGCCGGTATAACTGTAGGTCGTCGTCCGGCGCCACTTCACGGGTCTCTCGTCCTGCAATGCCGACTCCCATCTGTTTACTGGTGAGTGTACATATAGATCAAAATTAAGTATTAGTTAACGTATAGGCGGCGAGGCGGTACAGGAGATACTCTGAGGCGGTTGACTATAGCGGACGAGGGCGTAGCCCGAGGCGCGGTATAGTTAACAGCCGAGGAGGATTTCCTGTACGCGCCAAGACGCCTGACGTTAACTGATTTGTAGTCCAACTAGCCAATCACAATGCTGAATTTCTGCTGCGTCATCTTGCACTAATGTACTAATGACTGTTGTGTAAACTTTGGAAGCCAGACAATTTGCACTACGCCCAGCGCTAGATATTGTGATAAGGACTTCCTGTCCAATACTGATACCAGTGCAGCCCGCAGCCCACAGCTCAGAATTCAGCGTATATTCCTAGCACCGGGTTGTTTGAAGTTGGACTACAATAATGTTCATTACATGAATATTCGACGAATGATGCTTCAGCGTGGGGGCTAGCTATAAATGGAACTAAGAGTTAGACCCCATAAGAACGTTTTTACTATGACTCGAATCGCTGAATAAGAACTCAATGTCTGCAGAAAATGTGAGGCACATGTTTTGTTAGCTAGGCCTTAGTCTCGGTACCAAAGAAGAGAAGGGTTAGCTGGTAGCTAGCTACCAAAAGTATGTAGAACTTATCTCTTAGAGAACTAACGTAGACCTTTCTTTTTCCCAATACTGATAATATTAGGTGATGGTAGCTAATTGGTCAATGTCATGCACTCTTTTTTGTTGCAAGGTTCATGTATTGGTGGGCGTAATCTGCCTCAGTCTGTGCTGGGCCCAGGCTCCAGGAGATGAGGTTGCACGATGCACAACTGATCATTCAAATCCCCCACAATATCCCGACACTGTGAGGAATCTGATGGACAGTTACAACTATGAGAACCTCTTACCTGGAAATGGAACTGGGAACCCTCCCATTGCCACTGCAGTCTGGAATGACTTCAGCTTTGATGGAAATGATGTCAACGTTACGCCCAACTTATGTGAGTTTATCATTAGCATTAATATAAGTAGCTACATTTATCACAAAATTCCAGTGGCAGCAAGGAGCTGGAGGAATATGTCGATTTCAGACACGAGTTTGTGGATGGAGGCAGAATGATGTCGTTTCTCAGAATAACTGGCTCTTTACTCAACACATCAGTTCAGATTTTGACTCCAACATTCACAACTATAATGTGACCATACATGTGGAGGCAATTTACTCATTGCAGAGTTGTAGAGATCGGCAAGATTGTATACAAAGTTTCAATCTTCTCCACTACATGACTAACTCACAACAGCTCCCCCGTATTACTGGAAATGGATATATGAATACTCAAAATTATGAAATTTTTGCAGAACCGGAGGGACCAGTATCCTCAGTCACGTACACCAATACCTACAGTTTCACTCTGCCACCATCTTACACTGGTTTCTACATAGCCTGTCCAGGACATCTGGGTCATGTATAGCTCTATCAAGACTGAGAGTCTACCGCACAATTGTAAATCTCGTCAGTTGGGCTGGCCCTGTATCCGATACCCCAAGCACCAGTGTGACAATGTAGATGTGCTATTTTCTTGTGCCGAGAGAGCTTTCACATGTACTGGCAGTGGAACGTGGGGTAACGAGTGTCAATGTAAATGTGGATATGTGGAAATCACACAGGTCACTGGATGTATAGGTAAGGATGCTCCTGTTATCGTTCAAATTAACTCATGTTAGTTAGTCTTAAAACTTCATTTACTTAGTCTTGAAAGCATGTGAGGCTGGGGAAGTATCATCAGAGGAAGACACTGTTGCTCCAGAAATGACCATCCAATACCCCATTGGGATCTAGTCCCACCACGTGTCCAACCCCCCCCCCCGCCCCCCCTCATGCGCCGCCGCGCGTCCACACGCTAGCCGCACAGCCGAGGGGCAGGATGTCAGCTTAGATGGCCTTACTCAGAACTCAGAGAATCTACTCGGCCTGAAGCCCCCAGTATGGCGGGACATCCAGTGAGAAGCCTGGCAATATGTGCACAGTGAGTCCAACGCAAACAGCAGCCATAACAAACAGCAAACAGCCCCGGGGGCTCTTAACAGGTCTCCGCCGGCTATTCTCCCTGCCTTGCAAAACTCCCAGCAATCTACACACAACGTTATGGAACTACTGGCCAATTGTTTCTCAAAACACATTAAGGACCCTTAAATCAAAGGACACTCCTGTACTCTATTTTCAGCATTGTTTTGAAAACAGGTTTACTCTTTTTGCAGAACCTCCTGGTGCTCCTTGGGACCTGAATTATTGTAAGGTTTGTATCTCCAAATAGCATTTGAAATAAACTGGAAACATTCCTAGGGATGATGGTGGAAGACAGGACCTCTACTATCAAGTTGGAGAACAGAGACCCCAGACAATCTGGGAGGGTCCTACAAGGGGACAGTCTACATGGGAAGGGGGGTTGGTCGTACACCACAAAGTTCACTAGGTCTCAGGCACTCACTCAGTATGCGTAGAGTGACTGCCACAATTGGACGTCAGTGACAGACCCTGGTTGGAGCACCACTGAGGGCCGTTGGAAGCCTGTGTTAGAACAACTGGAACATGACACTACTAACTACTAGTAAATTCAGTGTAAACTAACTCTTGACAATAATATGGGTGTTGTACGAGGTTTAAACTACTACTTGCAATAGTATAAAACCCGGGGTAAAGTACTCTCTCTGTGCGAAACTGTGTCTGAAGTGGGTATGCTGTGTGACCTCCTGTGTGCTCGCCATGCATTATTCATTCTGGAAATGTTCAACACAGCCTCAGATTGCTAGAATGCGTTGTGGAATGTTTGGCTGTAGCTCAGAGTGCTGGTGTGTGGCCGCTATTTTGAGCAGTGGGGAACTATCCTCCTTTTCCTACTTAGGTGCTTCATAGTAGCTGGTTATGTGCTAGAAGACGACGAAGACGAAGAAAATCAATCGTGTCTGAAAGAGCTAGGTAAGCGTATTATTTTACCCACCTTAGTAGCTTTCTGAACATGAAACCCAATGCTTAAAGGTCACCTACTGCGAAATTCTTATTCCAACCTCAAGAGTTCACCAATCAATCCAACGGTTAGTTAATAAACCAATTGCAGCCACAAAGTACGTTGATAGTGATACTTTTAGTCAAGATGATAATGTACTGAAAGAAACCAGTGGCATCTCCAGTGCAGCAAAATTAAAGAGGAGCTCAAGAACAAGAAACATTGCTATTCTCCAACAGCCCGTTGGAATTGAGCCGAAGTGTTGGACAGGGTGTGAGAGAAGGAGCCAGCTCAAGTGCATATTTTACAAAATCTTTGCTCCCTGTCACAGGAGGGAGAGTGGGATTAGTGTATCGTGGATACCTCAGAACAAGTGAAATCAACAGGACTCTTGGTTCGCACAATAAAGACTGGCAGAGGTTAACAAGATACTCTTTATTAAAAATGGGAAAAGAAAAACAACCTAATGTTACCTTGATCTTGCCATACTGGTAAGGGAAGACAAAGGTTATCAGCATAATACCCAGACGTTTGAAATTTCACATTTCCTTTGGCTTTATATATAGCTCTATTGTCGATGGAACACAAGGAAAGACTGCTGAAGGAAGTCATTCCTCATGCTCACCTTTGATCATTCCTAATGTGTATCCACTAATTGGACTTCTTCTCCTTTGATGGGAGATGCCCCTCATCGTCTTGTACCGTCATGTCAAAGGGCCCAAACATTCTTGGGTAAGTGAGAATCACAGAGAGAGTCTATACTTTAAAAGATCCCCCCAGTGAGCACCAGGAGGGGGAAGCTCCTCCCTCCTCTTACACCTCGAGTTGAGCCCCTCCTTGTTAGGACAGAACTTTCATTCTCATAGGGGTTCAAGGTCTAGGGATATTCTTATGAGCTTTGGTAGGATATCATGCGAAGTGCGTGGATTTGCAAGTATCTTCTGGTAGTGAGTAGACTCTGTCTTGTACAATGAACTTACTTCATTATGAGATGTTAGCTATTATATCCGCAAAAGGCTTGAAGCTGCCAGGAAGACGTGTACTTGGATGGTTTGCCAGATATGCTTAAGTGGAATGTTAGTTATCTTGTCACAGTTAAGTTTCTCCATCGGGACATCCCTGGCTGCAAGAAACTTGCATGTAGGTTACATTTCATCATGGAATGAACTGGTGCTCTTTTATAATGCATAATCATTCACTTGGCAAGTCAACTACTTCTTACAAACGGTCACTAATCTATTTCTCTTCCAGGATTTGGGAATGATAATGAAATAATCAATGGTGGGTATAGACTCGTTGGGCTGACAGGGACAGTAGGAGACACGGCCTATAACGTGCACGCGGCGGATTTGTGCGGAGACTGTGCAACTGGAGGATGAAGATACCAATCAGATATGGATGGCTCCTGAGAGTATTGATGGGGCTCTAACGTGTGATTTGATGAAAGTAAGCAAGGTTGAGTTCAAAACCGGTAGAGACTGGTTAAACACTAGTGCCGCAATATGTATTAGGAATCCTGGCAACCTGTATTACTAGGTTGTTGTAGCA